CGCATTTTGGCTGATGCTGCGTCCAGATGAGAACACAAGCTGGCAGCACTTTGGCCAGGAGTTGCCTATGGTTTTGCGTTAGGACGGAACCCAACTGTAGTGCCATTCCCATGCTGGTGTTCCAACTTCCTTGCAAAGGTGACGTTGTCAGGTTCCAGTCCAGCTGAGTATCTCAAAAAACGTTGTCCCTAACTGGTGCTCATTGTCATCTGCGTTGGCTGCCAGAGCGGGCAAGGATGGAAGGGCCTTGGAGAACGGACTATGTTGTCAGCAACTGGTGTGGCTAGGTCACGGATGAGGCATTTTGGAAGGGGGAAGACATGCAAGGGAAGCTTTGTGATATTGCATCCTCCATCTGTTCTGTGAATCAATAAGGGGCTTTAGTTTTCAGGGCTCTCAATGCAGCAGCTTTCACCAGCACCAAAGAAAGAGAGGAAATAGAACATCTTTATGGATTCAGAGCTACAAAGCCTATATGACATTTCAAGACTGGATTAAGAGAGTTGTAGCAATTAGAAATGGAAAAGATCTCTTAGGTCATCAGTGCAGGCCTGTTCCATAAAGTGTATTTATAAAAAATACAGGATTCTTTATAACAATTTAAAAAAAAAAACCTCAAAGCCTCTGTGTCTCTCTCCTCAATGCCTGGAGATACCGCTGTAGATCAATGAACTCAAGTGACACCAAGTAATTCAGCAAATTCTAATCTTTGAAAGAAATCCAGTACATCCTGCAGATACTCAGTTCAAGTTAACAGATTGTCACCAGTGGAAGACAAGATTTCTCTGTACTCTGCTAGGAAGCAACAGTGTTCTTGGTAAAAGTGGGGGGAGTTAATACAGAATTTAATGTGGGAATCTCTACTGAGCATTTCAGAAGATAAATTGAAATGGCATGTGGCTGCCTTGTCATTTCTGGTTTATGTTATTTATCTCCATAGTTCACACTCCCAAGAACCTGCTTGTAATCCATTTAGAAATAAAAATCTCTGCAGCAACAAAAACATACATCTGATTTGGAAGCAGTCGTAAAAAAGCTGCGTTGCTTGTCAGTTTTCAGCACGGTGCCTGAGGAAGAGTCTATATTATTCCTGCTTTGAAAAGGTGTTAATAAATTCAGACGTAAAACTATTCTTTGGATAGCTTCTCTTGTTCAGGCTGCATCCCCATGTACTTAAAGATTCAGTCACAAAGTTTTAAATTTAAATAAACGGCAGAAGGAGAGAGAAATGAAGATGCATTAGGAAGGGAGAAGAGGGCTGGTTTCAGCTGAGGTTTGAAATGAGATGGAGAGCTGGTAAGATGGAAAGATGCGGGAAAGAGGCTCCAGATGACAGGAGATGGGGAATGCTCTAGCAGCTCCAGGGTGAACCGCAGAACCAGTCTGGTTCAAATGGAATGAAGGGAACAGGTAAGGGAATAAATGGGGTCTGCGATGTCCAAAAAGCAGCAACTTTTCAATTAACAAGTTCAGAGGGGATCATTCCATCTTGTTCAGAATGCCTGGGTGTTTCATTTACTCCAGAAGACACTTCTGGCTCTGTGTAAATTGTCTGATTGAAAACTAAAGACCGATCTGAGCTGAGGAACTCTGACATGCAAACTTCCTCACCTTGCTAAGGAGTTCAGATTCCTTGTTCTAGCTCAAGCTGTTCTTCTGAAAATGACCATCTGACCACAAGGTGTCTCCTCATTCTAAGGCCTTTTAATCATTGGCTGGAAGCCCCAAAATCAGACATGGCCTTTCCACGAGGAGGCGAAGAGGGGACAGTCGAGCGCACCAGCATTGCCGTTGGCCAGCTGGAATGATGACACTCAGTAAAGTTACTTGCAGTTGGTCAAGGATAGGTCCGTCGTGTGAAACTTATAACCACTTGTCTGGTTTGGGGTCCTGTTATGAACCAGAAATTTAGGCTGGATTAACCATACGGTTCAAAGAGGTTCACGGTTAAAGTACTGGGCAGATCTTAAGCTATATTCCTGTTGGATAAATTCAGAACCAGGCCTGCGCTTCACACTTGGTTTCTTCCTCTCTAATGGGTCAAAGCAAACCATAGATCCAAACACCTCATAGCCAAAGTTTATATCCAAACTTGGTGGCTTGGGCCCATGTCTAGTTTTGACCTCAAACCAGGTAGCAGTTGGTGCTTTGAGCTGTGTTTCATGTAGAGTTTTTATATTGGTTTAAAGCAACAAAAACTCAAAGCAAAGTTTGGTTGGCGGTGTGGGAGCCCGTACAAGCACAGAGCAAATTAAAACGGTTCCTCCCTTCAAACCCAAACTACCATGCTTGCCACAGTCTGTCAATGACCCTTTGTCTGTCCTGACGGATACGGTTCTCTGTAATTTAAACTGAGAATCATTTTTCTTTAAAATGACTTGACTTTGCCTCCATTTTGCCAAAGCCCATTATTTGTAAAGGGGGAAAATAGCCTTTAGCAAGGAAACCACAAGATGGTGAATGGGTTTGGGGGGACAGGGAGGGCACAAGGGGTTGGTTATGTTTTTTTGTTTATCTACCAGGTTTGAAGTTGGGAAGGCTGCAGGTGACAGTCTGTCACATTCTCAAAAGGTCTCTTTTGGACTCTCCTGTCCTCTCGGGATATTTTCCATCCAGCATTCTCACTATTACAATGAGCTAGCCAGTGTGTCCATGCTGTTATGTGTACGCATGACTGCCATCTACTGGACAGAGTCAGAACCACTCAACTGTGTCAGTGCTGTTATAGAAGAGTCCTGTACTTTTTAGAATAGGAGTGTCTGAGTTCTATCTCTGCTGTTGCTGTAAAGATACAGATGACCATGGGGTGCATCCTGGTAATAACTGAGAAACCTTAGGCAGCCAAAGATTTCTTATACTATTATCTTGCGATTCACCCTTAATTTTTTTAATGACATTGTAAATCTTAAGATTTGCAATGCTTCCAGTCCCATCTCCTCAGGATAAGTGATTGGCTTGAGGCAGACCATGTGAGCTCAGAGCTGTACTAATGAATGAACTGAGACAGATAATCTCTCTCTCTTACTCTCTGTAGAGTCACTTGGGAACACTATTTTTTTCATAGATTTTTCTAGGCCAGAAGGGACCTTTTGATCACCTTGTCTGATCTCCCGTATAACACAGGCCATAAAACCTCACCCATTATTGCTTGTAGCAAGCCCCTAACTTTTGATAGTTCTCAAACTTCATTGCACTGTGACCCACTTCTGACAACAAAAATTATTACACGACCCCAGAAGTGGGTACCGAAGCCTGAACCTGTCCAAATCCTGCCACCCAGGGCTGAAGGACTCGGGCGTCAGCTTCAGCCCAGGGCAGTGGGGCTCAGGCATCGGCTTCGGGCCTGGGGTGTTGGCTTCAGCCCCAGGCCCCAGCAAGTCTAATACCAGCGCGGGTGACCCCATTAAAATGGGGGTTGTGACCCACTTTGGGGTCCCCACCCCCCAGTTTGAATACCGCTGAGCTAGATCATAACTTTTAGAAAGACATCCAGTCTTGATTTAAAGACTTCAGGTGATGGAGAACACACCACAGTCTGAGGTACATTGTTCCAATGGTTGATTGCCCTCATTGTTAAAAAGTGCCTCTTCTTTCTCGTCTCAATTTGTCTAGCTTCAGCTTCCAGCCATGTGATCATGTTATGTCTTAGTCTGCTAGATTAAAGAGACCTCTGCTATCAGAAATCTTCTGATGTAGCTGCCGATAGGCTGTGATCAAGTCACCTCTTAACTTTTACTTGGAGAGATTAGATTGAATTTCTTATGTCTCTCAGCGTAAGGCAGATTTTCCAGCCCTTGAATCATTTTTGTTCTCTGCTCATCCAGATCCGTTTGGTATTGTTGTGCATGGTTTTCAATGGCTACTCTGATCCACTCCCAGGGACGCGCCCGCGTTTCAGGGGTGGTGATGTTGGTAATATTTTTCAAGTGGTGCAAGATCGTTTAGGGTGAAAGTGCTCGACAAGAAATGCAAGTTGTGTTGTTTCTTTGCCCAGTATTTGACAGGATAAGGAATCTGAAAATCTACATAAGCCATCTGGCTGGCTGCCTGAAAGGAACAAGTGTTGACAGTTAGTTTTAACTTTACAAATAAAAGCATGAACAGAAACAACCACTCAATTAAATGCATCTATTGGCCAAATAGAGCAGTACCTGCTGAGACTCCGTATGTGGTGTTTACTTTGAAATGCAGACTCCAAGAGAGATCTGTGAATGTGTAGGACAAGGCAAGGTCTGTAGGTAAAAGAAGTTTGAATGAAGAGGCTGATGGGAACATTAATTGGGCACGTCTGCTCACTGAACTAGATCAGGATGAGAAGGGGGTTGTTGTACCTGAATACAGAGCTCATTCTGGGAGGTTCCTTTGTCCTCATAAACCTACTTGCCTTGCAGTTGGGATTTGGAATTAACTTTAGAAAGCAGACGTTAGCAACCCTGCAGGTATTAGAGTTTTTGGGTTATGTCTCTGATTGCTGACAGCTTGGCTTGGTCTCCACTCACAAGGGCAGTGCCCCTCCTCATTTCTAGCTAGTAGAGTTTTCACGTGTCCTGACCACAGATGAGGTGATCATGCCAAGCTACCAGCAACCAAAGACCTAAGGCTGCTCCCTAGGGAAATGCAGAGGTTTTCTTTCCTGCCCACTGATCTGGTCTCCTCATGCTCTCCCCTTCATGTTTACCTGGAGCATCCTTCCCTATCTCAGGCAGACATAACCTTGGCATTCTCCAGCACAGAGGCTACATCCAAGACAGTGTCCCCACAGCTAGTGTAACTGGTTGTCTGGTACTGATTGGATGATGGTAGAAGAATTCTCTCCATCCCTTGGAGCAGAGACCTGTGCATCCCACAATGCTACCAGCAAAAGTGATAAAACTGTGATGGCTTGCATGGCAACATGGCATGGCTGGGCCTGTGGCTGAGGCTGAACCCTTAGGAGGTCAGCATTGTAGGTGTTGTGTAATGCTGAGGAAATAATTCTTGCTTTGTTTTCTCCCTCTCAGTTTGACCCCGAGAGCACTGGCTACATCAGCACTGAGAAATTCCGAAACCTCCTCCAAAGACACGGCTCTGAGCTGGACCCACACAAACTGGAGGTGCTCTTGGCCTTGGCAGACAATAATTCAGACGGGAAGATCTGTTACCAGGACTTCGTCAACCTGGTAAGTGAGCCACCAGGAGGAGCAGATCTCAGTCCTAGACGCTGGGTTTGCTTCCGACGTAAAATGTTAAGCAAAGAGGAGCAGCTGTTCCGTTTCTAGCAAAGATTTGCTGGGTCCCTCCGCAAACTCTGGGTGGGGTTTTCAAAAGCGCTCAGTGGTAGCCGAGCTCTGAAGTTGATGGGAAAGCTCCCATCAACTTTAATGGAAACAAAGTTAGGCCAGTGCTGGGCACTTCTGAAAATCCCCCGCTGTGTGTGTTGTAAAGGAGTTAGAAGGTGCTCCCCTTGGAACATTCCTTCCCCTCCATCTGCACTTTTAGCTTTTAGGCATTCGGGAGAATGGCAGCCTGTCAGGAGTTTCACACTTTCAGGGGAAGCACTGAGAAGCCAACAACTCTCAGCGTTTACTTAGGTGAGAGTTGACCAGGCTGCTTGGGTTCTGATGAGACAGGCTGCAGGGCTGCATGTTTACAATAAACTCACGTGGGACTGATTTCCAGACTCGAAACTGCCAGTCGGAACTGCTCATGGTGACCTCTTGTGCAGGATGGCGAATAATTAAAGAAAAAAAGGTTCTGTTTGACTTCAGATTTCCCAGCCCTAGGATTTCCTTCCTCCGCCTCGGCGTCTGTGAGCGGAAATCGTGATTGTCCAAATTGGATGCTGAGGCGAGGGCTGTTGTCAGCCATACCCCATGGGCCCTGAAAACTGATCATGTGGTTCCATTCCCACTGCAGAGGGGCCTGGGACATGGGTGATGTTTTCAAAAGTGACCTAGGCTGTGTCTGCAGCTGAGGTGTGATTGACGTGTGGGTAAGTTTACCTGCGCAGGTAACACTAGCATCATAGACGTGGCAGTCTGAGCTTCAGCGCGGGCTGGCAACCTGACTAGAACCTCTGGGGAGCCTGGAGATGTTCTCAGGTTGCTAGCCTATGCCGAAGCCTGAGCTGCAATGTCTTCATTACTTCTTACCTAATTAAAGCTAGCCCGCGTATGCCTACCCACACTACGATACACCTTCGCTTGCTGTGTATATAGACATACCCGTAGGCACTTGGGACCCTGAGCTCCATTGCCTTTCAATGAGACCTAGATGCCTAGGCATCTACGTCATTTTTGAAAATAGGATTTAGGTTCCTACATCATCTGAAAATGTTTTGAAAATGTTACCCTTTATTTCTGTCTCACTTGCTGGCCTCTGGCTGTGGGATCTGTTTGTGACCAGGATTACACAGGCAGCACTAGAAATAGTTTCGTGCTCCATAAATAGCGACTGCTGTGACAACAAGGGGGAGAAACTGTGTTTTTTGACAAACTGGTTCCCTTCGCTCTGCTCCCATCTTCCCACGTGCACGGAGAGACCCACCTTCTTGGGCATACTGCCCCTCCCGGGGGTTCTCGGCTGACAGTAAAGATTCTCCTTTTTCTTTCCGTCGTGCACTCTCAGTCTCTCTCGATATGTCAGTCAATATACTGCATGATGTGTTTCGTTCAAAGGTAGATTTCTCTCTGGGTAGCTGTAGGTATAGGAATCTCACACTCTATAAAAAGTTCTAACTAAGCCTGTGTTGATCCCATCTGACCAAAGAATGTTGCTAATGAGGCACTGAGCCATAATAATTCTCCAGCGCAGGAGCTGGCGTAAACTGTGAAAATGACCAGTCCGGCTGCCTGACTTTAAAATAAAACCAGCAAGCAACCCAACCAAGGGGAGACGGGCCAGCCCAGACTCTGAAGCTGAAACCGGCAGCTGCCCTGGCCCACCCAGGGCTAGATTAAAAGCTACAGTGAGGTTTGCTGCCTGAGCCCCCGTGCCTCGTGGTGTCGGGTACGAGCCCCTTTACGCCAGCTGAGTCCTGGGGAAACAGGACATCTTCTCCTTTTATC